GGGAAGAGGGGGAGGAGCAAGGGGAAGGGGAAGAGGGGGAGGAGCAATGAATAAAATCAAAGGAGGCTGAGCAGGACTCACTTGTGTGTGACTACTTGTTACAAGTATATAAATATATTTACAACATATTTATATGTCAGGTTAGGTTACTATTTATTGTGGATAAAGAAACCTATAGTTATGTATTGAGGCAGATCTGAGCCAAATATAATTCAGCGTGTCTTAGCCTATTCAACTTCCTTTGGACTTTATTCAGCTCTCTGTTCTCCAAGCACTTTCCTTTGGATCTTCCAATGTGCACTGCAGTCTTATCTATACCCACATGGGAATCTGAAAGATGACAACAGCTCTGAACCTATGGCCACTAGGCAGCAAATGACCAAAGATTACAATCCTCGGAAGTACCTGGGCCTTCTATTCGTTCTCAATTACTTTCTGATCACTCTCCCTAGTTGTAGGGTTTGTACTAGTCTGTACCCAAGCTAATCAATTCTGAAAGGTGTCAGCACCATGTAAACTATTATATCTGCACAGATATGTTATTCAGACACTTTCTTAACCCTTGAGGTCAAAGAAGCCAGTTTGTTCTACCAAAGAGCATTATCTTGAAGCATTCTTTTTTGTTATTAATTGAAAATAGATTCTTCTCACATACAGCACATCCTGATCACAGTTTTCCCTCCCTCCACTCCTCCTAGCTCCCACCATAACCTCTTCTCTCCCAGATTCACTCCCCCTTTGTCTACATCAGAAAAGAGCAGCCCTGTGAGAAACAAGAGTCAAATATCATAAAACAAAATCCAGTAGGACTAGACAAAAGTCTTCTCACCATAGCTGGACAAGGCAACCCAACTGGAAAAGAGTCAGAGACACGCCCACTTCCACAGTTAGGAGTCCCACAAAAACGCCAAGCCAACATCCACAACATAAACAGAGGACCTGGTGCAGATCCATGTATGCCCTATGCTTGCTGCTTGCTTGTCTCTGTGAGCCCGTGTGTGCCCTATTCGAACGACTACAGGAGAAGTGTTCTCCTGGTGTCCTCCATGCCCTCTGACTCCTACATCCATTCCTGCCTCTCTTCTGCGGGATTCCCTGAGCTGGAGGGACCCAATGGAGACCTCTAATTTAGACCCTCTCTCCGATGTCTGGGTATGGGTCTCTGCAACCACTCCCATCTGTTACTGGAAGAAGCCTCTCTGATGAGGAAGCCTTCTCTGTGAGCATCACAGAATATTATTAGGAATCATTTTATTATGATTTTTTTAGACCAGTATTTGGTTCTAGCCTAGGTCTCTGGGCCATCCATTCTCCAGTTTCTGGCCATCCAATCAGTATCTAGCATGGGCTCCCTCTTGTAGAAGTGAGCTGAGCGCCTTGAACCATTGTTTGAGCAGCTGCCTTCTACACCCAAGCAATCTCAAGCTGACACTGTTTCATTGTAGCTTTCTGATTCTTCCATTACTTCTATGTATAACAATCTCCTAAGAACATGTTGGGTTTACAAATTTATTTTGGCAGCTTTGGCTTCTGGCAGGAGAAAAAGCCAACACACATAGACACACACACACATACACACACACACACACACACACAGACATACACACACTGCTTTGAATAATTTTATGTTCACAGAAACAATGACATGAAGGTTTTAATTACAACATTTTTGTGGATCATTAAATCCATTCTGTAGTTTTAAAACAAGAAATATTTGCAAATATAGCAATGAGACAATTGAAACAAAAAGAAGAATGAGAAGATAAAGCAGAAGGAGAGGACATCATTCTTGTGGTGGCCAAAGGTTCATGTGTTACGGGACTGCTCCTGAGTGTGAGTGGATTGCGGGATTATGGAACTGGTGCAAAATGAGCATGTGGAAAGGTGACCAGGTCATCTGAAAGCAGACACTAATGCTGATCTCCTGGGCTGGGTTTTCCTTCAAAGAAAATTCTTATGAGAAAGCCTGACCTCTCAATCCCTATCAATCCCTCTGACTTCCTTCCTCATCACACAATCTCTTCTGCACACACTCCCACCACTGTGAAGCTATCTGCCCATGAGGCACTGACAGAGAGCAGCAAAATCCAGTGCCAGGCTCTTGGACCTGCAGACTCACGAATCACATAAACTTATTTTCTTTAAAAATTTCCCAGCCTCAGATATTCTGTCCAAATGAAATAATACCCTAATTCTTCACAACTTCTTTTCTGAAGAAGACACTGAATTAAAAGAACTAAAAGCAGTATAGATGAGGTTGGGTTTCTCTTTTCTCTCATTTTCTCATACCTATTGGGTTTTGGGCTTTGTTTTTAAAATGAGTATCTCTCATATTCTAAGGTATTATAATGTAGTCCGTAATGAAAATATAAAAGAAATATGAGAGAGAAATAGATAGTAGCTGTGCTTATATTTTGACTTTCCATGTGCTCATGTGTATGTTGTATCACTTTAAGAAAACTGGGAGGTTTTCAGAATGAGGCCCAGAATAATGAAATTTTCAGAAGTCACACTACTGGATAATAGTGAGCTCCCAACTTTTTACTATATACTTTCCATTAAAAATTTAGTATAAACCATACTCACACATACATATAAAGTATTCATGTATTTTACACTGTTCACTTTGTATATTGCTAGTTTACTAAGCACTTATACAAATGCATAAAACTTTTTATATGGTAGAATCAAAATATTAGAAAGAGGAGGGCTGGCACAAGACTGTAAACTCAGGATTCAGTAGACTGACACCGGACTACAAAATGTTTTGTTTTGTTTGCTTCAGTTTGACCTTTTCAGGGGAAGGGAAAGACAAAGCGTCCTCACTATGTAGTCTGAGCTGACATGACTTCTCTGTGCTTCCAGGGTACCGTATCACCAAACCTGGCAGGTTCCTTTCTATCATACCAACCAACTAGTATCTTTTAAAGAGAAAGTGCCATATACGCGGACAAAACACCAGTGCACATTTTTTCATTTTTTAATGCATTTTTAAAAAAACGATCAGTGGTGGTTGCACTTGGGAGGCAGAGGCAGGCAGATCTCTAATGAGTTTGAAGCCAGCCTAGTCTTCAAAGAAAGTTCTAGGACAGCCAATGTTGCTACACAGTGTAACCCTGTCTCAGAAAAATTAGGAGAGAGAGAGAGAGAGAGAGAGAGAGAGAGAGAGGCTTAGTGCACTTCTTCTCTTCTAGGTGTTAGGGAATTTGGGTACCGAGGGCCTCACAGCTGCTTTGAACATGCTACCTTGGTGTAACAACTTCGAAGTCAGAAAAAGAAACAAGTAACAAGCAAAGCTGGGAGAAAAGGCGTTGCTCTGCCTTCAGACCGGACAAGGTGTGTTCTCATCTTACTCTCTTAGCTAACTCACAACATGGCTACTACAGATAGGAGCTTGAATGGGTGAGATGAGGAAGGAAAACGACAGGAACAAGGTTGCTTCAGAAATGGAAGATCTTCCAGAGTATGTTTGCTCTCCCGAAGAAAATATGTCTTCATAAAGCTTTCTATCCAGAGAAGATTTGAACTCTCGGACAGAATAAAATTATGACCTAGTTTCCGCTCAGACATGAACAGGAGAGAAGTATAATGGTTTAACTTATTTCTAAGATCCCTCCACCCCCTCTACCTGACAGAGGACACAGAGAGGGAGGAAGGTGGAGAGAAAAGGAACAGGAAGCTAGCTGGGAGGGAGACTAAGGAGGGAAGGAGGCCAAGGCC